CAGAAATTGGGGAGTATATTAGAAATTGGTATTAAGAATAATTGGTAAAACATAATAATTGGTCATATATTCAATGCTTATATGGATTTCTTGGAATATAAATGAACTCAACTAAACTGTTATGTTCTGTCTTCTCTTGAGGTAAATACAGATGGTGTCTTGATGCATAGCAGGGATAATTCGGCCTAGAATGGTGTGACCCTAAAAAACAACAACTCTAAACCGGCTGAAGATGAACATCAGAGGCGTTGAAGATGTTCCTGTACAGCACCACTTCTACCTGCAACCGGTGTACAACACCAGTCGCTGACTCCACGTTGCTGGCTTGCTGGAGGCGTAGCATCTCAGCACCACTTGCAGATTCTGGTTGACGCGCTCCGTCTGGCCATTCGACTGGGGATGGAAGCCGGACGACAAGCTGACGGAGGCGCCGAGGCAGGTGGCAAACGCCTTCCAGAACCTGGAGGCGAACTGAGGGACCCGATCCGACACCACATCTTGGGGAAGGCCGTGGACCCGGAAAACGTGCTGCACCACCAACTTAGCCGTCTCCCTGGCCGACGGGAGTTTGAGAAGGGGAATGAAGTGTGCAGCCTTCGAAAACTGGTCCACAATGACCAGGATGACTGTGTATCCATCAGAGGGGGGTAGGGCGGAAATGAAATCCAGCGAGATGTGGGACCAGGGGCACTTGGGGATAGGCAGGGGTCGGAGCAGCCCTGCCGCGGGCTGACGTGAGCTCTTCGTGCGTGCGCACTGGGTAAGCAGCCACGAAGGCGCGCGTATCCCCCTCAGCTGATGGCCACCAGAACCTCCTACGCAGGAACGCCAAAGTCCTGGCGCCCCCGGTTGGCTGGTGAGTTCAGACGTGTGCGCCCACTGAAGGTTACTTACATCCTCCCCGATGGACCTCCGCCTGGATCGGGCTCCCACCGTAGCGCTGCTCTGACCAGCCTATTGATTCCCCACAAAACTGTGGCAGCAATCAGGGCTTTGGGGACAATGGGGTCGTCCCTCTCTACCAGGTTCACGGGGTCGAACTGCCGGGAGAGCGTGTCAGGCTTGGTGTTCTTCGACCCCGGACGGTATGAGCTGGTGAAGAACAACGCCCACCTGGCTTTACGCAAGTTGAGCCTCTTGGCCCCCTGAATGTAGGCTAAGTTCTTATGGTCAGTCCATACGACAAATGGATGGGCGGCCCCCTCTAGCCAATGCCTCCACTCCCCCAGGGCGAGCTTGCCCGCTAGCAGCTCACGGTTCCCCACATCGTAATTCCACTCTGCCGGGGACAGCCGACGGGAGAAAAACGCGCAGGGGTGAGTCTTACCATCCATGAGGAACTGCTGGGACAGGATTGCTCCCACCACAATGTCTGAAGCATCCACCTCCACAATGAACGGTAGGGACAGATCAGGATGCCCTAGGACTGGGGCCGATGTAAAGCGCCGCTTAAGCGCATTGAATGAGTTCCCCGCTTCCGAGGTCCAGGCGAAGGAGCGCACGCTCGTCTGGGTGAGGGCTGTCAGGGAGCGGCTAGGGAGCTAAAATTGTGAATAAATCACCTATAAAAATGTGCGAACCCTAAAAACCGTTATAGTTGCTTGAGGGAGGAGGGCTGGGGCCAATCCAGTACCGCGCTGACCTTGGCTGGGTCCATCCGTAGGTCCCCCTGGGTGACGATGAACCCCAGGAAGGAGACTGTCTCCGTGTGGAATACGCACTTTTCCGCCTTGACGTAGAGCTGGTGACGGAGAAGGCATTGGAGGACCTGCCGAACATGCTGCTGGTGTTCACTCATGTCCTTTGAAAATATTAGGATGTCATCCAAATACAGGAAGACGCTGTGGTCGAGGAGGTCCTGGAGCACGTTTTTGACCAACGCCTGGAACACTGCAAGCGCGTTGGCTAGACCAAACGGCATGACTTCGTACTCGTAAAGCCCACTGGATGTGTTAAAAGCCGTCTTCCACTCGTCCCCCTCCCGAATCCTCACCAGGATGTAGGCATTTCGTAAGTCCAGCTTGGTGAAGATCCGGGCTCCCTGCAACGACTTGAATTCCGCCGTCATCAGGGGGAGTGGGTAGCGGTTCTTAACTGTGATGTCGTTGAGCGCCCGGTAATCAATGCACGGCCATTGCCCACCGTCCTTTTTCCCCACGTAGAAGAAGCCCGTTCCCGCGGGTGAGGTAGATGGGCAGATGTGACCCTCGACGAGTGCCTCGTCGATATACTCCCTCATGGCCAGCGTCTCCGGCCGGGACAAGGAAAACAATCACCCTCGTGTGGGCATTGCGCCTGGTAGGAGATCGATAGGGCAGTCGTATGGCCTGTGAGGAGGTAGGCCCTTGGCACGCCTCTTACTAAACACCTCCCCCAGATCCCAATACTCCTGGGGAATGCCTACCAGGTCTGGGCTGGTGACGGAGTCTGTAGCCGCCGTCCTTCCGGTGGTAACCGCCGCTAGGACGGTAGGCGGTTCGGAGTGCGGGACCTGGGGAAGAGATGAGGACTGGTAGGTGGTCTGGGACGGTGGTTTGGGCTGATGAGTGGTCGGTGGAGCCCGGAACAAGACAGGTGCGGAGCCTCCCTCCAGGATGAGCCGCCCCGTGGACCAGTCTATTCGGGGTTTGTGGGCGACCAGCCAGGGGTGCCTGTGAATGAGAGGACACTCCGGAGAGTCCACAATGAAAAACTGGATATCCTCCCATAGCCCCCCTGCCACCCGGACACGCATGGGGACAGTGCGCCGGGTGATGAAACCCGACCCCAACGGCCGCCGTCCAGGCCCATGACCGGAACCGGCTCGGAGAGGGAGAATAACAGAACACTCCAACCTTGGGCCATCCCCGCGTCCATCAGGTTTCCCGTGGCCCCAGAATCCACCAGTGCATGCTCCCGACGCGCAGCACGGCCCCACTGAACCTTGACTTGGAGAAAAGTCTGGGAGTCTCTGGAGTTGGGGTTTTGGTTCCGGCTCGCTAGCACCCCTCCCGATACTAGTGAGCGCTCCCGTTTCCCTGCTTCTCCGGCCATGAGTTGCAGTGGTGACCTGCCTGGCCGCAATACAGGCAACGTCCCTGGCGCAGACGCCTCTGCCTCTCCATCCTGGACAAGCGCGCCGCACCCAGCTGCATAGCCTCCTCCTGAGGTTCTCCTCCCTGAATCGGCGGAAAGCCTCCGGGCTAAAAGGGGGACGCGGAGGCACGCTTTGCGTCATCCCTCTCTCGTGCGCCCTCTCATGACACTGATTGTCTACCTGCACCGAGAAGTCGACGAGGCCGTCCAGTCGCTCAGGCAGCTCCCTGAAGGAGAGTTCGTCCTTCATCCCCTCCGATAGCCCCTGCGCGTAAAGGACGACCAGGGCGGCCTCCTCCCATCGTGCCTCTCGAGCCCAGGTCCGGAACTCTACGGAGTAGTCCACCACCGAACGGTGGCCATGAGCTGCCTCCCAGCCTCGTGCCCCGACACCACCCGAGAGGTCTTGAACACCTTGCGTATCTCCCGGGTGAATTGTTAGGAGTCAGAGCATGCCAGAGTTTGGATCTCCCACTCCGCGGTAGCCCAGGAAAGGTCCTGACCCATCAACAGAGTGATGATGTAGGCCACCCGGCCTTGCTCCGTCGGGAAGGAGGAGGGTTGTAGGCTGAATACCAGGGAACACTGGGTGAGAAATTCCCAGCAGCCCTCTGGATGTCTGTCATACCTCTCCGGAGGTGGTAGGCGGGGTTCCAGCGATGTCGTAGGTGAGACTGGAGACGCCGCTGCCGCGGCTTCTGCTCTGCCGGCTGCCGGGGCTGGTCGGGTGTCCACCCGGCTCTGCACGGCGATCGTCAGCTGGCCAATGTGCTCCGATACTGTGCTGCCTCCGCTGGGTCCATATTGGCTCAGTTTTCTGTGAGGTGTGACCCAGGTGCAGTGCATGATAGACAGTAGGCAGTAGGCAGAGATGGTGAAACAAGGATCTTTACTGGTGGTCCCGAAGCCAGGATACAAAACAACAGACTTAACACAATAACAGAAAGGTGGAGCAAATAAATCTCCAAAAACAGGCTGACAGCCAAAATACAAAATAGTAACTACGACTGAAATAATAAAGAAACAGGGAGAACACTTCTCGAGTACCTGTACATACTTCTCCGATCAGACACTGATTAGTACTGCTGAGCATAGAGAAACTAGCAGAGAAAACTGAGCAAATTAACACAGGGAAGTGAGGGCATAAATACACAGGTGAACAGGTAGACACAGGTGACACCAATAGGATCATGATTAGTCCAGACTGTGAGTGAGAAGGTGCCTAAGGTTGTCGGAGGAGGACACCTAGTGGATCGCTCCGGAACTGCGACCCCCTCCTGTAACAACCTTGTATATAGTATGCTTACTTACTTTCTTGTGTTCTTCTTATTTCAAATTTTTATTTCTCGTGTGTTTGTATTCTACATTGTTATTGATTACTGCATTGTTGGGTTTAGAGCTTGCAAGAAAGGCATTTCACTGTACTTGTGCTTGTGACATTAAAACTTTATACTTGTAGTTAATTAATCCAGGTGTCCGATACAGGTTCGATTGAGAACTGTAAGGCTGGGTAATGCTTGAGTTTCTGAGAGCTAGCAATTACTATCATTTATGCAGATATTTGTTTTATTTGGTTCGACAGAGTGGACCCAGATGTTACTAAAATGAAGCTGAATGATGCAATATTCACCAAGAAAAGTAGATTGGAAGCAGTTACAGAGGAAGAAGATGGCAGAGAGGATCATGGGACATCCTTTAATTTTAATGACCACTCCACCTCTCCCTCGGTCAGTTCCTCAAATCAATTATCTGATTGATTGATTGATTTGTAATAGCTTACAATGTTCTTCTATTTTTGTTGTTCTTACATTTTTTTAAGGGTTTGGGAGATATTGGGTCATTGAAAGCATCACCATAAAGAATTTCATGTGTCACCATTTTCTTGGTCCAGTTCGGTCCCAATGTGAACTTCATTGTTGGCAACAATGGAAGTAAGAAAGAGGATTTTTAAACTGTCACTTTGTATTGGTTATATGCCTCACCATATATACATGTTTTCTATGCCTTATCTTACCTCTGGGTCATTCCATATGATTTTCAATCACTTTCTGACTGCACCCCTTTTGATTTGAACGACACCTTAGAGGTGCTCAAAGTTTACCAATTTTGCATACCCCACCCTACCATGAGACATCCATGTCTTCATCACTGAAAAAGATAAACAGTTGCGTTTGATATAATTTGAATGCTTACAAACAGGGTGGTCAAACTATTCTATGATTTCTTGGAAAAAAGTTTTTCATAATATAAAATAAAAATTAAGCTTTACTGTCAATTATTTAAAACTCAGATATTTTTAATTTTCACAAATATTGTAGTTTAGACCCTATTTTACATAATCTGAAGTGTTTGTGTTGTGCCCGTCATACTCTTGAAAAAAGGGTGGGTGTCATTTCAATCATACAAATGGAATTCATAGAATTCTATCCCTTCAGACCGCTGACGTTTAAATTGAATTCAAACTTCAACTTCCAATTTCTACCAGAAAGATGGCCAACCGGTCCACCCACCGTCAAATGTCAACTTGAATGGGTCTGTTTATTCTATTATCTATATTTCTAGGATTTCAATAGGTTTCCTATAGAAGCTTGACAGTTCAATTTATAACAATGGATATTCCCACTCAAGTCAACATTCTCTGATATCTGACACCCACCCTGCATTCAAGAGTATGCTGTGTCTCAACCGATGGCAGGCACAACACAAACACCTCAGATGATGTAAAATAGGGTCTAAGCTACAACATATACAGTGAGGGAAAAAAGTATTTGATCCCCTGCTGATTTTGTACGTTTGCCCACTGACAAAGACATGATAAGTCTATAATTTTAATGGTAGGTTTATTTGAACAGTGAGAGACAGAATAACAACAAAAAAATCCAGAAAAACACATGTCAAAAATGTTATAAATTGATTTGCATTTTAATGAGGGAAATAAGTATTTGACCCCCTCTCAATCAGAAAGATTTCTGGCTCCCAGGTGTCTTTTATACAGGTAACGAGCTGAGATTAGGATCACACTCTTAAAGGGAGTATAAAAGACACCTGTCCACAGAAGCAATCAATCAATCAGATTCCAAACTCTCCACCATGGCCAAGACCAAAGAGCTCTCCAAGGATGTCAGGGACAAGATTGTAGACCTACACAAGGCTGGGATGGGCTACAAGACCATCGCCAAGCAGCTTGGTGAGAAGGTGACAACAGTTGGTGCGATTATTCGCAAATGGAAGAAACACAAAATAACTGTCAATCTCCCTCGGCCTGGGGTTCCATACAAGATCTCACCTCATAGAGTTGCAATGACCATGAGAACGGTGAGGAATCAGCCCAGAACTACACGAGAGGATCTTGTCAATGATCTCAAGGCAGCTGGGACCATAGTCACCAAGAAAACAATTGGTAACACACTATGCTGTAAAGGACTGAAATCCTGCAGCGCCCGCAAGGTCCCCCTGCTCAAGAAAACACATATACAGGCCCGTCTGAAGTTGTTTGCCAATGAACATCTGAATGATTCAGCGGAGAACTGGGTGAAAGTGTTGTGGTCAGATGAGACCAAAATCGAGCTCTTTGGCATCAACTCAACTCGCCGTGTTTGGAGGAGGAGGAATGCTGCCTATGACCCCAAGAACACCATCCCCACCGTCAAACATGGAGGTGGAAACATTATGCTTTGGGGGTGTTTTTCTGCTAAGGGGACAGGACAACTTCACAGCATCAAAGGGACGATGGACGGGGCCATGTACCATCAAATCTTGGGTGAGAACCTCCTTCCCTCAGCCAGGGCATTGAAAATGGGTCGTGGATGGGTATTCCAGCATGACAATGACCCAAAACACACGGCCAAGGCAACAAAGGAGTGGCTCAAGAAGAAGCACATTAAGGTCCTGGAGTGGCCTAGCCAGTCTCCAGACCTTAATCCCATAGAAAATCTGTGGAAGGAGCTGAAGGTTCGAGTTGCCAAACGTCAGCCTCGAAACCTTAATGACTTGGAGAAGATCTGCAAAGAGGAGTGGGACAAAATCCCTCCTGAGATGTGTGCAAACTTGGTGGCCAACTACAAGAAACGTCTGACCTCTTTGATTGACAACAAGGGTTTTGCCACCAAGTACTAAGTCTGTGTTTTGCAGAGGAGTCAAATACTTATTTCCCTCACTAAAATGCAAATCAATTTATAACATTTTTGACATGCGTTTTTCTGGATTATTTTGTTGTTATTCTGTCTCTCAATGTTCAAATAAACCTACCATTAAAATTATAGACTGATCATGTCTTTGTCAGTGAGCAAACGTACAAAATCCAGTACAAATACTTTTATCCCTCACTGTACATATGTATAGGTTTGTTACAGGTTTTCAATTCAATTATAAACAGGACAGTACGTTAAACTATAACCATGTTTTATCATTTGCTTTCAGTGTCTAAAGGATCTCAAGCACAAGTTTTTACAGAAGGAGAGGTATGAAAACCTGTCATCTGTTGGTGAGATGAAGGAGACTCTGGAGGAACTGAAGAAGATGATGGCATGGTGCTTGGTAGGTTTTTCCTTGTCAGGTATTTGTGAAGTATATTTGTATAAATATGTTGTCAGGTTGTTATCAGGGTTAATTTAAGATCTGAGTGTGTCAACTGGATCTGTAGTCACACTCAAACCATTTGAGCTATTGATACGATAGAGAAATGTAAACCTGTTTTATATCTTAGTTTTATATCTCTCTTTTCCATCCAGAATAAAGTGACAGTAGCTGAAAATAAATTGCAGGACATGCAGAGCAGGCTTGACAGTCGGAGAGAAGAGGAGGAGACCTTGACTTTCGGAAGATAAAGGAAGTAGTGAAGGCGAAGGATAAAGCCCAGAAAGAACAGAAGGTAAGAGGCTGGGTTGGGGTCAATCCCATTTTAGTAAGTAAACTGAGGCTGTCTTAAATGACGCCCTATACCCTATGTAGTACACTACTTTTGACCAGGGTCCCTAGTGCTCTGTTAAAATATAGTGGACTTTATAGGGAATAGGGTGCCGTTTGGGATACATCCCATTGCCTTATGACAGATGGTGTCATTCTAACACGACACGCATTGCCACGCGTCTGACGTAAGACAATGGGACATTTTCTAATTTTCCTCACCAATAACTTTACATACTAATTTGTGCATTTTATGCATGTATTTGCAGCACTTTAAAAGTTAACACATTTGTCTGAGCTGTACTTTTTCTCCTACAAATGTTGTATTCTAGCTAGTTCTCTTCCGTGCGCTGAACAAACAAACTGAAGCAATCTCTTCTTCGGGAGAGAATTCACAAAGTGAAAAATATGTGAGTGGTTTTTGAGTGATAGTTGGGCATTCAGCATTAGTCAATGTTTGGAAGGATATACTGTGAAAAGATACACGTTGCACTCTGATTTACTGTATCTACAGTTGAAGTCGGAAATTTACATGCACCTTAGCCAAATACATTTAAACTCAGTTTTTCACAATTCCTGACATTTAATCCTAGTAAAAATTCCCTGTCTTAGGTCAGTTAGGATCACCACTTTATTTTAAGAATGTGAAATGTCAGAATAATAGTAGAGAGAATGATTTATTTCAGCTTTTATTTCTTTCATCACATTCCCAGTGGGTCAGAAGTTTACATACACTCAATTAGTATTTGGTAGCGTTGCCTTTAAATTGTTTAACTTGGGTCAAACATTTCAGGTAGCCTTCCACAAGCTTCCCACAAGAAGTTGGATGAATTTTGGCCCATTCCTCCTGACAGAGCTGGTGTAACTGAGTCAGGTTTGTAGGCCTCCTTGCTCGCACACGCTTTTTCAGTTCTGCCCACAAATGTTGTATAGGATTGAGGTCAGGGCTTTGTGATGGCCACTCCAATATCTTGACTTTGTTGTCCTTAAGCCATTTTGCCACAACTTTGGAAGTATGCTTGGGGTCATTGTCCATTTGGAAGACCCATTTGCGACCAAGCTTTAACTTCCTGACTGATGTCTTGAGATGTTGCTTCAATATATCCACATAATGTTCCTTCCTCATGATGCCATCTATTTTCTGAAGTGCACCAGTCCCTCCTGCAGCAAAGCACCCCCACAGCATGATGCTGCCACCCCGTGCTTCACGGTTGGGATGGTGTTCTTCGGCTTGCAAGCCAACCCCTTTTTCCTCCAAACATAACGATGGTCATTATGGCCAAACAGTTCTATTTTTGTTTCATCAGACCAAAAAGTATGATCTTTGTCCCTATGTGCAGTTGCAAACCATAGTCTGGCTTTTTTATGGCGGTTTTGGAGCAGTGGCTTCTTCCTTGCTGAGCGGCCTTTCAGGTTATGTCAATATAGGACTCGTTTTACTGTGGATATAGATACTTTTTTACCTGTTTCCTCCAGCATCTTCACAAGGTCCTTTGCTGTTGTTCTGGGATTGATTTGCACTTTTCGCACCAAAGTATGTTCATCTCTAGGAGACAGAACGCGTCTCCTTCCTGAGCGGTATGACGGCTGCGTGGTCCCATGGTGTTTATACTTGCGTACTATTGTTTGTTCAGATGAACGTGGTACCTTCAGGTGTTTGGAAATTGCTCCCAAGGATGAACCAGACTTGTGGAGGTCTACCATTTTTTTTCTGAGGTCTTGGCTGATTTCTTTAGATTTTCCCATGATATCAAGCAAAGCGGCACTGAGTTTGAAGGTAGGCCTTGTAATACATCCACAGATACACCTCCAATTGACTCAAATTATGTCAATTAGCCTATCAGAAGCTTCTAAAGCCATTACATCATTTTCTGGAATTTTCCAAGCTGTTTAAAGGCACAGTCAACTTAGTGTATGTAAACTTCTGACCCACTGGAATTGTGATACAGTGAATTATAAGTGAAATAATCTGTCTGTAAACAATTGTTGTCAAAATTACTTGTGTCATGCACAAAGTAGATGCCCTAAACGACTTGCCAAAACTATAGTTTGTTAACAAGAAATTTGTGGAGTGGTTGAAAAACAAGTTTGAATGACTCCAACCTAAGTGTATGTAAACTTCCGACTTCAACTGTAGGTATGACTATTCATTGCATTCGTGGTCCACTTACTCTTTTGGTTAGATAACTACTGTAGTTACTTTCAGCTTTAAACCCAACAGTGGGAGTCAGTTTTGATTTCTTTGCATACATTCAGGCTTTTCTTGAAATTATCTTTGATGTAACCCTGTAGTGGGAGTCAGAACAAGGAGGCAGAGGCAGAGCACACAAAAAGACTGCAGAAAATCTCCAGTCTGAGGATGCAGCTGGAGAAGCATGAGACGCAGTTCACCACCCTGAATCAGGAGATCAAGGACAAGCAACAGGCTCTGTTCAAAGAAAAGAAGGAGCTGGACAAGCTATGGTAATGGGAAATGATTCAAAGTCGATTTTCTTTCTCATCCAAGAATGTAATCTTATCATACTGTACAGCTTGTTTTTAAAGTCAGAGATGCATTCCGTTTACATTCTTCTACACCAGCATTCTACTACAGTATGAAAGGAGTATTCCAACAAATACCTACAGACCATTAGCAATTTTAGACATCCTCAGTCAGTATTGAGACTGAGAAGCTTAGTGTTCGAGTAGGGTGTGGCCCAGGACTGCCACTTATAGGCCTCAGCAAAATGGTCACCACCACTTTTTGCATCAACTGTGACTGACATGGAATGTTTGTGTATCAGATGCACTCCACTTCTATAGTACAAGTACTAAAATGTATGTAATGCTCATGTATTGATTGAATGCACTAGGTTGGAAGATAAGAATATCCAAGTGTCAATGGGGGCTAAACTGAAGAGGAAGAACCAGCTCCTGGCCAGTAGATCCAACAAACTGAAGCGCTTTGGAAATAACATGCCTGACCTGCTAGACACCATCGATAAGGTTCACATCCAAGGACGCTTTACCAAGAAACCTTTCGGTCCTATAGGTCAGTGGTTCTCAACCTTCTTTGGTTAATGTAGCCCATTCATATTGTGGTCTGCCCAAATTACACCCTCATGTGCAGCACATCTTTGACCCTATGTTCTTGAGTCTTCCTAAGTACCCCCTATGGATAGGTAGTACCCCTTAGTGCCCCTTGTTGAGAAACCTCACAAAGATGTACTTATCATGAATTAATGTTTGTTCGTCTCTATTCATTAATTCATTCATTCATTCATCCACTTACCCATCCATCCATCCATGTTTTCCCCTCAGGTGCATGTATCAACCTGAAGGACCCTACGTTAGCTGTTGCAGTGGAGAGCTGCTTGAGGAGCTTCATGAAGACCTTCTGCTGTGACAACTACAAGGACGAGGCTGTCCTCCAGGACCTGATGTCACACTACTTCTCTAAAGGCAACAGGCCCCAGATCATCGTCAGCCCCTTCTCTAGTTCTGTCTACAAGGTTCAAGGACGGTGAGACACACTGGCTCCATCTGAAATGGCAACATATTCCCTACATAGTGCGCTACTTTTGACCAGGGCCGATAGGGCTCTGATCAAAAGTAGTGCACTATGTAGGGAATAGGGTGCCATTTGGACGCAAGCATAGTTTTTATTGATGTTGTTGAATAGCGGTAGCTACTATTGACCATATTTGGTCAATGTCCATATTTAGTTATAGCTGTGTGTAGACTGATGAAGACAAGTCTTAATGTTAACAAATAATTATGTTATATGCACATAACAAACTGTATATAAAAATGTTGAGTCAGTAAAGCTATTTTGTATAAATGTGTTTTTGTATTTTGTTGTGTTTCAGGGGAGTCAATCACCCTGACTACCCCTCGGTGCTGGACTCTCTGAGCATAGCCAACCCAGTCATTACCAACTGTCTCATTGACATGAGGGTCATAGAATCCATTCTCATCATCAAAGTTAGTTTCTACCCAGATCGTTCATAATATTTACATGTTGCATGTACAGTCCAACAAACTGTTTGAAGGAGTGTGCATTGAGGCAGCTAAAATTGAAAGATATAAAAGTGGTTATGACATTTGTGTTTCTAACTGTACCATCATGGAATTTATCAGGCTGTCTTGCATATAGTGGGCACTGTATGTAGCTGAAGTTTGATGAAGATAGTTTTAGCTGGCAGTAGACTTTGCTGCATGCAAATGTAAAAGATTTGATTGCAGGAGAAGGATGCAGCCAGGAGGGTGATGCAACAAGGCCGACCCCTGAGGAACTGCTGTGAGGCCTTCACTGTCAAAGGAGATCAGGTTTACCCCAACCAGTACTACACCCCAGACTTCAGCATGGCCAAATACCTCAGGGTAGATCTGTAGACAGAAATTCGGTAAGTAACTATTTTGTTCATCTGGTCTCTACTATTTTGCACTCCAGTCTCCTTTTCACCTCATTTAAGTCCTGATTTACTTAACAAAAGGCACATCTCAATAGGTGTTCAATGTATGTCATGACATAGCACAAAAGTGTGTGTGTGTGTGTGGGGGGGGGGGGGGGGGGGGGGGGTTTGTTCTCTATCTCTCCTCTGAGGCCGATGACATCACAGATTCTCATCAGACCAACTTCTTGAATGCCCTACTCCTTGAAGTTTACAGTTGTGTAAAAAATATATATATTTTGCTCAAAACATATATATTTTTTACCCTTTAGTGTGTCTACTTTACTGTATTTACAGTATACTTGGGATATCGTTTTTCAACAGTAAAAGTTAAAAAATCACTGGAGGATGTCTTTAAGTTATTTAGATGAGTTCAATATTCATTATTGTATGGTTAATGAAGGAGCTTGCTCTGAAACGCATCAGCAGGAAATATTTGTATCTATTTTATTTAACCTTTTATTTAACCAGGAAGTCCCATGAGAAGAATGATCTCTTTTTGGAGGAGGCGATAATTGAAGGGAATTAAGTTGCCGCCCCGAACCTGATCCTGTCTTTCAGAATTGTATTGATTTGTAGTTTTATTTCTCAGCATGTTGGAGTCAGAGCTCGAGAACTACAAGGCCCAGTTCTCCCGGTTTCATCTTCACCTGAGCTCAGTCACTGAGGACATCCAGCGCATGGAGGCCAAACTACACAGCACCATCATGACTCTGAAAATTCCTCTGGTAATGTGTTGAACTGTGTTGTAATGTGTCTGTCACTGCTGTATACAATTAAAACATTGACACATTGAATAGACAACAGTCAGATGCATTGCACCATCACACTTTAGCACCATCATGACCCCATAATTACTGAAAAAGACTGGTATTACACCTTTATGTAATGTATGACATGAATGCCGTTTAACTGTTTACCTGTATATTTGAATGCAGGCCACAGTGAATCAAGTCAAGGCCAGTGTGACAGGAATAAACAGCTGCCTGAAGAGATGGAGCCACTGAAGGTAAAGAGACATGTTTGCAGTGCCTGATGCTGTACAGATGAAAACAGTTAATACACTGTATATGCACTTGGCAGACACCTTTAACCAAAGCAACTAACAGTACAGGGAGGTGGTGTGTCACAGTGCAATGAGTACATTTTTGTATGTGTATGTTATCTCTGTGGAAATTGAACCCATTAACTTGCTTTGCATTGCTAGTGCCATGCTCTTACTAACTGCGGCACACAGGATACCTAATCATTACAAAAATGACAATGAAATACACATTTTCCTTGCTTTTATAGTTAAATGGTCCCTAATAAAATGGCAACTATTTGATACACACACATAAAACTTGTTGTGGTCTTGGCTGACCAGGAGGAACGGGGCAAGGTGGAGGCAGAGTGCAGTAAACTGGACCGAATCCTGAAGATCTTGGAAAATAAACTCAAGAATCATCAGGACAACAGGCTATGAGAAGGGATCTGGCTCTAAAAGAAGAAGAGGTTGCGGTAAGCGATAATATTTGTCGCAATGTTAGAACCAACCCATATATGGATATTTATCAGTGCATTATATTATATTAATTACAATTCTTGCATTCAGTTTTTTATTGTAAACCTGCGTCTTATTTTGCTAAGTAAAAAACAAGAACGATAAGGCCAAGTTGGCAACGTGAAATGCATGTAATATAAATGGCAGTTCCTAATCTGTAGTTTATAACCTGTTGACAGGAATTTGTGGCCAAAGCCAAAGAGATCAGCCCAGAGCGTCAACAGGTAGATCGAAGCGCGAAGAGAATTGATGTGGAGATCACACGGTTACGGAAGAAGATCAGTGTTCAGGAGAGTAGCCATGGAGACGACGAGCAGGTGGTCAGGTAGGATACTGCATCAGTACATATCCAAACAGCATTGGATATTTCATAAAATGTTGCTCATTCAATTGTTTTGTAATGTTTAATCTCTCGTGGACAGACTACGTTAACACCAAATTACGCAATATTTTAGTTCTGGGTTAACATTGATTATGTCATGTTAGAAGACATGCTGTACTTACTGCGTCAAGACATATTGAAAATGTAACATTTCAAGGCCAATACTGTACATGAATTTTGTAGATATCTTTGTCTCCTCACCAGAGAGTATGCAGAGGCCCTGGCTAACTACAGGTAAAATTCCAACCAAGTGAGAAATCTGAAGAAGTTCATAGATCGCCTTGACAACATCATGTCCGACAGGCAGACCCGGTACAAAATAATGTGCTGGTAATTCCCGGTCATTTGACGCATTTCATAAAGGACAATCTGTTCTCCGTTTTGCTAGTCTGAAGTCCGTACAGCCGATCTGCCAACTTCTGTCTGTAGCGTCCGAACAGTTTCTGCTACACACTAATATGACCACTCTATGGAAAGGTGAGTCTCTCACGAACACGGACCACAAGACTAGTCTGAAGGTAGCTGGGTACCAGTTCAAAAAATGAATGGAAGTATATATGGAGAGTTTAGTGCCTAAAACAAGGGGTTAAATACAAGCTGTGTTCGAATACTCATACTAACCGCACTAACCCTACTATTTGTGATTGGTCATAGTATGGATATAGTTAGTATGCTAAAAGTTCCCGGATGTCGTACTAAATTCACCAAAATACAAAGTATACAAGCAGTGGACACTATTTCCGTGATTTTAGGGCCCATAACGCAATTCTTCAGAAAATGGGCGTGGCTTCACAACGTTTTCAGATTTGAAGAAAATATGCAGCCGAAGTCCGACTAGAGCAGATACAAATTCATTGCTTTACCTAATTAAGACAAATGTTAAGAAAATGTTGAGCAATGTAATAAAGTAATGATTTATCAAATAAGTTACGTTACACGTTATGTTGGCTGACAATTTGTTAGCTACGCTATTCTTATGAACCGCACAGCATTACAGCAGTATGTACCAGTATGTTAGCTATTTACTGGCTAACGTTAGTTGGCTACTAATACATCGAACTTGCCAGGCAGTATATTAAATATATGCTATCTAACTAACTACCCAACGTTTATTGACTTGCTTATTCACGTCATTCTTAGCTAAGTGGTATATAGTCATTGTGCGTTCTTAATGGACATTGTTAATTCTAGCTATCTACTCCGATTTCAGAGCACTCTCATCTGAGTGTGCCAGAGCGCAGGAACGCTCAACACCCGTTGAATATGGCCGGTGTCAGTAAATGTCGGCAAAAAAAACGTTATTAAATTGTTGCCAGCAGCACAGTTACAGTCACCAACGCTCTGGATAACATGAAAACAGCCTAACCAGCTCTGCTAGGGCGAGTAAAATGATCAGAGTGAGGTGTTCTCTCATTTGTTTCTGGAAGTAGCTAGCAAGCTAACCAACGTTAACCAGTTAGCTTGGGTGCTTGACTGTCGTTGTGAGGTCAGAACGCTCGGATCAACCCTACTCCTCAGCCAGAGCGTCCAGTGTGCGCTCTGAACCCTCCGAGGGCGAAACGCTCTGAATTTACCAATGGACAATCTGACAATGCTCTTTACGAACACCCAGAGCGCACTCTGAGCACACTCTGGCACTCCAGATTGAATTTACGAACACACCCGAAATCGTAAAATGTATAGCTAGTCATTTGTTATGCTAACAAGCTAGCAAGAGGTTGCATAGCAACAGCATCAACTTCCGGTAGACATGCGAAGCGCTAGTACCCTCAACTGAAACAATATAGTTCGTTTACAGTATACTAAAATGAACTAATAGTATATAGTATGTAGTATATACTCATTAAGTATGTAGTATACAGTTTGTTAGTATGGGTATTCTTATATCTCTCAGATATAGGACAGGCACTTCAGAACAAACTTTCTTTTAGATTTTTATTTTTTTACTATCTGTTTATCCATCTATGAAGCTGTTATTCAATGTGTTTCTATGGGCTAATAGCAGTAAGGCCAAATTCAATGTTTCATCAAATATTAATAAATAAATAAATGATCCTTTGTATGACCATCTTAAAACAATTCCAATTCCTCCCCACCCCCCACCCCCGGCTTAAGACTCTTAAGGATTAAACCCCAAAAATACTACTCAATGGCTGGTTTCCCAGACACAGATTAAGTTTAACCCTGTACAAAATGGATAATCTTCATTGAGCAAGCTTTTTTAGCCCACAACTAGCCCTTTAAGTCCACAACTCGCCCTATAGTCCACAATACTGAGTATATAATACTGTATATTGAATATTCCCACATTCTTTTGAATTAATATTTGTGTCTTTATGTACATAGGTCCCTCTCTGTGAGATGCAAGTTGTAGTTTAATAATTTCCTGATAAAGATGAATTGCTGTGGGTCCATGATGTTTGATCACAACTGTGAGACACTCTCCATCTCGGTATGTGAGCTAATCCTGATAGCTTTCAAATGGCCTCCGTAGCTCTTGCATAATACCAATATATTTGTTTAAAATAGTTACCTGTATTCGTCAGAATCAATTTGACATATTGATTTTTATCAAAATTGTTCAGTTCAGTTACTTTATTTGGCCTTTTACAGGAATGTATTTCACATTCAAGAGGACTGAGACTGAGACAACATTAAACCATCAACATTTACAGACAACAATGCTGGCATTAAGATTGCACTGAATGAGTTGTGCAAGGCCATTAATCAACAGGAAAACGCTCATCCAGATGCAGCGCTCCTAGTGGCCGGGGACTTTAATGCAGGGAAACTTAAATCCGTTCTACCTAATTTCTACCAGCATGTTAAATGTGCAACCAGAGGAAAATAAACTCTAGACCACCTTTACTCCACACACAGAGACGCATACAAAGCTCTCCCTCGCCCTCCATTTGGGAAATCTGACCATAACTCTATCCTCCTGATTCCTGCTTATAAGCAAAAACTAAAGCAGGAAGCACCAGTGACTCGGTTAATAAAAAAGTGGTCAGATGACGCAGATGCTAAGCTACAGGACTGTTTTGCTAGCACAGACTGGAACATGTTCCGGGATTCTTCAGACAGCATTGAGGGAGTACACCACATCAGTCACTGGCTTCATCAATAAGTGCATCGATGATGTCGTCCCCACAGTGACCGTACGTACATACACCAACCAGAAGCCATGGATTACAGGAAACATCCGCACTGAGCTAAAGGGTAGAGCTGCCGCTTTCAAGGAACGGGACTCTAACCCGGACGCTTATAAGAAATCCCGCTATGACCTCCGACGAACCATCAAACAGGCAAAGAGTCAATACAGGACTAAGATTGAATCGTACTACACTGGCTCTGACGCTCGTCGGATGTGGCAGGGCTTGAAAACTATTACAGACTACAAAGGGAAGCACAGCCGCGAGCTGCCCAGTGACACAAGCCTACCAGACGAGCTAAACCACTTCTATGCTCGCTTCGAGGCAAGCAACACTGAAGCATGCATGAGAGCACCAGCTGTTCCGGATGACTATGTGATCATGCTCTCCGTAGCTGATGTGAGTAAGACTTTTAAGCAGGTCAACATTCACAAGGCCGCAGGGCCAGACGGATTACCAGGACGTGTACTCCGAGCATGTGCTGACCAACTGGCAAGTGTCTTCACTGACATTTTCAACATGTCCCTGACTGAGTCTGTAATACCAACATGTTTCAAGCAGACCACCATAGTCCCCGTGCCCAAGGACTCTAAGATAACCTGCCTAAATGACTACCGACCCGTAGCACTGACGTCTGTAGCCATGAAGTGCTTTGAAAGGCTGGTCATGGCTCACATCAACAGCATTATCCCAGAAACCCTAGACCCACTCCAATTTGCATACCGCCCCAACAGATCCACAGATGATGCAATCTCTATTGCACTCCACACTGCCCTTTCCCACCTGGACAAGAGGAACACCTACGTGAGAATGCTATTCATTGACTACAGCTCAGCATTCAACACCATAGTGCCCTCTAAGCTCATCACTAAGCTAAAGATCCTGGGACTAAACACCTCCTTCTGCAACTGGATCCTGGACTTCCTGACGGGCCGCCCCCAGGTGGTAAGGGTAGGTAACAACACATCTGCCACACTGATCCTCAACACGGGGGCCCCTCAGGGGTGCGTGCTCAGTCCCCTCCTGTACTCTCTGTTCACCCATGACTGCATGGCCAGGCACGACTCCAACACCATCATTAAGTTTGCCGACGACACAACAGTGGTAGGCCTGATCACCGACAACGATGAGACAGCCTATAGGGAGGAGGTCAGAGATCTGGCCGTGTGGTGCCAGGACAACAACCTCTCCCTCAACGTGACCAAGACAAAGGAGATGATTGTGGACTACAGGAAAAAAAAGAGGACTGAGCACGCCCCCATTCTCATCGAATGTAGTGGAACAGGTTGAGAGCTTCAAGTTCCTTGGTGTCCACATCACCAACGAACTATCATGGTCCAAACACACCAAGACAGTCGTGAAGAGGGCACGACAAAGCCTATTCCCCCTCAGGAGACTGAAAAGATTTGGCATGGGTCCTCAGATCCTAAAAAAATTATACAGCTGCACCATCGAGAGCATCCTGACTGGTTGCATCACCGCCTGGTATGGCAACTGCTTGGCCTCCGACCGCAAGGCACTACAGAGGGTAGTGCGTACGGCCCAGTACATCACTGGGGCAAAGCTTCCTGCCATCCAGGACCTCTATACCAGGCGGTGTCAGAGGAAGGCCCTCAAAATTGTCAAAGACTCCAGCCACCCTAGTCATAGACTGTTCTCTCTGCTACCGCACGGCAAGCGGTACCGGAGTGCCAAGTCTAGGTCCAAAAGACTTCTCAACAGCTTCTACCCCCAAGCCATAAGACTCCTGAACAGCTAATCATGGCTACCCGGACTATTTGCACTGCAAACTATTTGCACCCATCCGTTTTACGCTGCTGCTACTCTGTTAATTATTTATGCATAGTCACTTTAACTCTACCCACATGTACATATTACCTCAACTACCTCAACTAGCCGGTGCCCCCGCACATTGACTCTGCAACGGTACCCCCCTGTATATATAGCCTCCCTACTGTCACTTTATTTTACTTCTGCTCTTTTTTTTCTCAACACTTTTTTTTGTTGTTGTTTTATTTTTACTTTTTTTTGTTTAAAATAAATGCACTGTTGGTTAAGGGCTGTAAGTAAGCATTTCACTGTAATG